AAGACGGCCCCTGGCGGCCCCAGGACGGCTCCTCTGGCGCCCACTACGCCCCAAGAAGCAGTCAAGACAGCCCCAAGGGCGGCCACAGATGGCCCAAGAGGGCCTCCAGACGGTCCCCAGACGGCCCCACAGGCGCCCAAGACGGCCCCAAGATGCACCCACGAGGGCCCGAAACGCTCCAAGTGGGCTCCCAGAAGACGTCCGAGAGAGCCCGCACAAGCAACAATCGTTACAACATTTCGTGAATACGTAGTTTTTCGCAACTCCCGTGCTTTCCGTTTTCCAAGCGTCCACGACGACAATACGGGCCCCCAAGATTGGCCCAAGACGTCTCAGGAGGCCCCCATGAGGCTCCCAAGACGGCCCCAGGACGGCTCCTGTGGTGCCCATTACAGCTCAAGAAGCAGTCAAGACAGCCCAAGGGCGGCCACAGATGGGCCAGGGGGGCTTCCAGGCAGTCCCCAGACGGCCCCACAGGCGCCCAAGACGGCCCCAGACGGCTCCAAGATGCACCCACGAGGGCTCCAAAACGCTCCAAGTGGGCTGCCAGAAGACGCCCGAGAGAGCCCGCACAAGCAAACATCGGCCCCCAAAAAAGAGGAAAATTCGCATTTTCGCAACTCCCGTGCTATTAGTTTTCAAAGCGTCCACGACGAGCCCCCAGACGGCCCCACAGGCGCCCGAGACGGCCCCAAGAGACACCCACGAGGGACCCAGAATGCTCCAAGTGGGCTCCCAGGAGACGCCCGAGAGAGCCCGCATACGCAACACTCGTTACAACACCTCGGGAAAGCGTGCATCTTCACAATTATCCTGCTTCCCGTTTTCAAAGCGTCCGTGACGACATTTCAGGCCTTCAGAATCGGCCCAAGGCGTCTCAGGAGGCCTCCATGAGGCTCCCCGCACGGCCCCCGACAGCCCCAGGACGGCTCCTGCGGCGCTCATTTACAGCCCAAGAAGCAGTCCACATAGCCCCAAGAGCGGCCACAGATGGCCCACGAGGGCTTCCAAACGGTCCCAAGACGGCCCCACATGCGCCCAAGACGGCGCCAAGAGGCACCAACGAGGGCACCACAACGCTCCAAGTGGGCTCCCAGAAGACGCCCGAGAGAGACCGCCACAAATCGTCACAACAATTACGGGAGACGTGCATTTTCGCAATTTCTGTGCTTTTCGTTTTCCCAGCGTCCACGACACCAATTCAGACCCCCAACATCGCCCCAAGGACAATACACGACAACAATACAGACCCCCAGGAGGCTCCCCAGACAGCCCAAGAAGCAACCAATGCAGCCCCAACAGCGGCCAAAGATGGCCCACGAGGGCCTCCAAGCGGTCCCGAGACGGCCCCACAGGCGCCCAAAAAGGCCCCCGACGACCCACGAGGCGCCCAAGACGGCCCAAGAGGGCCCCAAGAGGCACCCAAGACGGCCCAAGACAGCCCAAGAGGGCCCCAAGAGGCCTCCAGGAGACCGAAGTGAAACCCCGAGAGGCCCCCAACCAGTTCTCAAGGAGAACGCAGCGCCCCGCAGCGCCCGCCGTCAGGCTTTTTGAAGGATTCCCAGGCTCTGCGGCCCAACACGGCTCCAGGACCCTGCGAGGTCGTTCCAACACGGCCCGCGAGGCCTCCAAGAGAGCCCCACGACGCTCCAGGAGTGCCCCGAGACGGTCCCACGACGGTCCAGGATGGCCCCGCGACGGCCCAGGAGGCGCCCAAGACTGCCAAAGATGCACCCAAGACGGCCCCAATAGCGGCCCAAGACGGCCCACGACGGCCCAGGAGGCGCCTACGCCGGCCTCCGAAGGCCCCACACCACGGCCCAGAGACACCCAAGACGCCCGAACAGAACCCCCCGTAGCCCCCCAACGCCCACAAGACGCCGCTGGACCCCTTCCCGCGGACCGTTTTCTCCTCCCGAGCTGCTTTGCTCACGGTGTCCTGGGGCTTTGCAAGGGCCCCCAGGGGCTCAACATTACCAAACATGTTGAGGTCAGGGTAGATGGGGTCGGAGGATTGCGCCGCATCGCCGCTGCATCGTCGATGCGGCTGGATTCGGAGTCCCAGTTTTTCACGCAGACGTCGGCGAAGCACCGCCGACGTCGCCGCTGCATCGCCGCTATAGCGCGCTCATCCAGGCCCATCTACCCGGACCCTACGTGGGCGGCCTCTCATGTTCCGCCCCGACTCTTTCACGACGCAAGGGGGCGTCTCCCGCCACCCGCCATTACGGGCGCGTGGCGCCAAGCCGGCGGACGCCTCGCCGCGGGGTGTTGCCCGCCGCTGTGCGCGGGCCCGCCCGCGCCCGGCAACGTGTCGGAGTTCGACATCATCATGATTGCCTTTCGGCCCTACATCCGCCCCCCCCCCTGCTACCACATGATGACGTGGACGGAGTCCACGGGTCCACCCTAGTCTCTACTACATTGCAGGGCCCAGTGCGTGCCAGAATGGCGCAGGCCCCAATGCACCAAAACCGCCCCGGGCTGGCCCTGGGCCGCCCCGGGCCGCCCAGGCAGGCTCCAGGACACGTCGAGAGGGCCCCCAGAAGCCCCCAAGACGGCCCCGGAGAGCCCCGGCACGCTTAAAGATGGGCCCAAGACGCCCGAGATTCGCCCCAGGCGGCCCAAGAGGCGTCCAAGACGCCCGAAGAGGCCTCCCAAGAGGCCTCCCAAGAGGGCCCCGAGCGACAGAAATCGTCGATTTCTACTGTGTTTTTCGATGTTTTCGGCCTCCTCGCCTCGTCGGCTTCCCGACGCTCCAAGACGGCCCAAGAAGCCCCCCCGACCGCTCCAAGACGGCCGAAGAGGACCCCAAGAGAGCCCCAAGACGGGCCAGGAGGGCCCCCAGACGGTCCCAAGACGCCCCAGGACGGCCCCAGGACGGCCCAGAAGGCGCCCAAGACGGCCGAAGAGGCACCCAAGACGGCCCCAGGAGCGGCCCAAGACGGCCCAAGACAGCCCAAGAGGCGCCGAGGCGGGTTTCAGACGGCCCCAAGACGGCCCAAGAGGCACCCAAGACGGCCCGAGAGGGCCCTAAGAGCCCCCCGGGAGGCCCAAACGAAGGCCGAAGAGGCTCCGAAACCGCCCCCACAAAGCCTTCAGTGCCTTCAGAATTCCCTCCAGGAGCGGGGGAGCGGACGAGAGGCGACAGGCATATCGCAGGCAAAAACGCCCCAAGAGATCCCCAAACGGCCCCCACGAAGTCCTAAATGGAAAGCCAAGCTGGAGCCCGACGCCATCATGATTGCCTTTCGGCCCTGCAGCCGCACCCCCCCGCGCTTGCCCAGAGACCCCTCGCCACGTCGAGCTGATGTCGTGGACGGAGTCCACAGGTCTGCCCTAGTCAGCTACAGCGCTGGGATCAGCGCGTGCGAGAAGGGCGATCAGTGGCAGCGGGCTCTGGCGTTGCTCAGCAAGATGCGGGGGGCGAAGCTGGAGCCCAACGTCATCTATATTACAATACCAGGCTCAGCGCGTGCCAGATGGAGGCATTAATTGCGCCCGCCAGGCTTGCGGCGGCGGCACCTCCGCGGTCCCGCTCGTGTAGCGACGCCGTCCTGGCCCAGGAGAGCCCCGCGAATGGTCCGAAAGGCCCCCAGAGCGCTCCTCTGCAGCGCAAGAGGGATCCCAGACGGCCCGAGAAGGCCCCCACCAGGTTCCACAAGGCACCCACCAGGTTCCCCAAGGCTTCCACGAGGACCAACAACTTTCGATATGTTTTTAAAATGTGTTTCCCAACCATATTGTGTTGAGTTGGGTCCTCGTTTTGCAGAGAGCGCCCCCGGGTCCCTCCTCATCCTCCTCTCCTCTCCTTCTCATCATCTTCTCCCTCCTCCCACCCTTGCCCCTGTCCTCCGCATGTCATCATCACCATCATCGTCATCGTCATCGTCATCATCATCATCATCATCATCATCATCATCATCATCATCATCATCATCATTATCATTATCATCAGCAGCATCAGCATCATCATCATTACCAGTAGCAGTATCAGTGTCATTATTATTGTCATCATCACCATCATCATCAGCACCATCATCATCGTCATCAGCATTAGCACCACCATCATCATCATCATCATCATCATCATCATCATCATCATCAACATCATGCTCATCAACATCAGCATCGCCGTCATCATCATCAGCACCACCATCATCATCATAATCAGCACTATCAGCATCACCATCATCATCCGTACCATGACCAGTATCAGTATCATCATCAGCATCATCACCATCGCCAGCACCATTATCACAACTATCATCATCATCATCATCAGCAACATCATCAGCATGATCAGCATCGTCATCCCCACCATCTTGATCATCATCACCAGTAACAGCACCACCATCGTCATCATCATCATCATCCTCATCGTCGTCGTCGTCATCATCAGTACCATCATCATAAGTATTATCATCGTCATCATCATCATCATCATTACCATCATCGGCAGCATCATCATCAGCATCATCATCGTCATTATCATCAGCAGCATCATCATCATTATCATCGTCATCATCATTATCATCACCATTGTTGTACCATTTTGGCTCAAGGTACTTTCGAGGAAAAGAGACCTCTCGTCGAGCCTCAGAGAGAAGCCCGCGCGCGCGATTGTTTCATTGTCAGTTGCCCCATGTCGACCGACAGTCTTGGTCTTGTGTCTCTCTCGTGTCCGCGATCTCGGCGGCCCTCCTTGAGGGCGAGCCTGGTGCGAAGAAGGCCCGAAGTGATGACGTGCCGACGGCCGACGAGATGTGTGGCGGTCGGCCCTCGATCGGCCCAGGCTCCCCAGCGCTTCCTCCACCGCCTGCCGCGGGTTTGAGCAACGAGGCGCACGCGATGGTGATGGCGATCCAGATGTCATTCCTGCCGCAGTTCGAGGGAATCGCTTCGAATATCGACAATGTTTCGTTGAAGCAGACGACGATGGACTTGAAGATAGATGCGAATACCCAGCGGATTGACGCCTTCAACACAAGGTTAGACAGGACGGACAGGAGCATCGCCGAGCTGGCGGCGAGGACCACGGCGTTGGAGCAGAACGGTGTGGGCAGGCAACACGGGTTCGGCAAGCTCAGCGATCGGAGATCCAGGCGGCACGGCTCATCGTCACCACCCTCACAACCCGTATGCCAGGGGCGCATCGTGGGTGCTCAAGACCAGAAGGCAGATTATCGCCGTGGGCGGCTTTACGCAGGACGCGGAGAAGGCGATCATACTCCAGAAGTTCCGTGAGATCATTGCAATTTCGCCACAGTTCCTTGGATGGGCGGGCCCTGACCTGGTGGAGGACTGCTACACCCCTGGACAGTTCAGCTCGTTTGGCAAGATTATGTTTCGCCCCTCGCAGAACATGTGGACGTTCCTGAAGGCCTTCAAGGGCCATCGATTCACACACGAGGGAAAGACGCTGTTCTACCATATCGACAACACGGAGAGCGAGAGGATCATGAGAAGGAGAACGTCGGCAGCTCGAAACTTTCTCATAGGCGAACTGCAGGAGCTGATCATCCTCGGTCCGAACCCGTCGAGGGAATACCTCGTCAGCGCGGTGCCGAGCGGCGGGGGCTCGGGGATCGTGCGCTACCGCGCGACCGACGGCCAGATCACCAGGATCCACGAGGCGAGTCGAGTGACGGGGCTCTTCCAGGTGTCGACGACGGCAGGCGGCGCGGCGCTGAACATTCGCTTCGCCGAGGCCCTGCAGGACATCAACCCCGGCTCCCGCGGACGGATGGGCCCAGAAGAGGCCCAGGGCAGGTGCGCCACATTGAGAGTTGTTTCTTGGAGTGTGCGAAGCATCGAATCTGAATTCGACGAGTTGTGTGCTGAGCTGGGCGGGGAACTGGAGTGCGATGTTCTCTTACTCCGGGAGGCAGTATGCTCTGACAATTTTGTTTGCGCATCTCTAGACTCAGGCCATATTCCATTTGTCTCGAGCTCCTATCAGTGGCGTAGGAGGACTGCCGCGGTGGCGAATCGCTCGTTTGAGGGGGACATCGACGCAGACTTGAGTCAGAAGGGAGAGGCTATGTCTTTCGGTGTTCGTTGGGGGTCACAGATCATACTTCCCATCTGCGCGCACATGCCCCCCTGCGGCCACGTGGGGGACTACAATGCATGCCTAGATCACATACGCGAATTGACAGCTGACTCACCTTGCCAACATCTAGTGATTGGGGTGGGCGCTCAGGCGACGGTGGGAAATCGACATGCGGATCCTTGGGTGGGACCTCGAATCTCCTTTCGACGGGGCGACGCGGCTGCCCCCCACTTCTTGAATTTCGTGAAAACCTACGACCTGGCCCTGGTTAACACCCTGGACTCGGCGCCCCGGACTTGCCGGACGTGTCGCTTTGATTATGCGCGCAGATTTCCCCCCCACCAGATCGACTTAGTTGGGGCGTCTCGGGGCCTATTCGATAACGACATGCAGTTCGAGTTTTCGGTCCCCGCCTCGGCCGCGACGGACTCGGACCGCCGGCCTAGCGTAGTGGAACTGCGAGATCAGAAAGCGCCTCGACCTCCGAGGGCGATCAGATCCCGCAGGTCGAATCTGCGCCGGGCACGCACGATTCAGAGTACCCGCTTTTGATTTTGACGACCTGGCGCTGCCCCTGTTCGAAGGGGCGACGGTCGAGCCGCCCCTGGATCTCAGAAGTTTGCACATCTTGCCCGATGGGGGTTTCCTCGAGGGGCGTCGGTTACTGAAGCGGGCTGAACCAAAGGCGGGGCGGGGTCTCGTTGCGTTTCCTCTTGGATGTGACGCGCCAACATCTAGGAAGGAGTTGCCAGTCTCGGCGCGAGGGCCAGTCGCGAGCGACCCGGATCACATTGCGTTTCTAGGCGCCGCGATGAGGACGAACGGCGCGGCCGAGATCGCGGCCATTATCGCATTATGTTTCTGGCTTCTTAAACGAGGACAGGCGCAGTCAGGCCTCTATGTGACCCCAGGGGCCCGAAAGCGACCGAGGACCGACAATTACCTGATGCTCCTGGGTCCACCGTCGCGTTGCACGTCGATGCGAAGCGCGCGATCCAAATTGCGGAGATGGCCGCTCGTCCACGGCAAAACGTTCTGATCGCGCGCCTCCTGAGGCACTTGATCCAGAACGCTCGGGAGCATTTCAAAATCGACATCGTCTGGGACATCTCACCAGAAAGAAGACGCGGGGAACGACCTCGCCGATTACCGAGCGAAACAGGGGGCCGCTCTACCCGCAGAAGCTGCTAGATGGCAACGCCCCCGCCAAGTCGATCGGTTTCAAGGCGGCTTTCTCCGTCTGTCGGGCGGGGCCCAACGACTGATTCTGCCCGTGCACGAGCAGTTTGCGACGCAGAACGCAAGGCAAAACGTTATCTGCCCGCGGTATCTCCAGGGGGGCGCGACCGAGGAGACTCTGGACCCCCCGCTGCCACGGCTGGATTCGCAAGGCCTCGATCTTCCGAGGATCTCAGAGTTCGCAAGCGCGGCGGCCAGCGTTGCAGCTCATCGCGGGAGGGGGGGGGGGGCGAGATCTTCAGCAGGCGCAGCTTCACATGACAACCCGCTACTGCAGCGCTCGCGGGACTTCCAGCGGCAGCTAAGGGTGGAATCCAGAGGCCATGTCCGCGGGGCCCTGGCGAAGGAACTCCACGGGGCGAGACGCGCGATATCACGACTACGAGCGACGGTTAAGATCGACGAGAGCCTGAAGATAAAATGATTCCCAGCACGACCGAAAGCACGACCCAGAATACGTATCTTACGGCGACCACTTGACGACGGAACCATTCAGACGGCGACGACTACCGACGATAATTCCCAGATGTTGATCTCCTTCTACTCCGACCTCTTCGGCAACCCCCACCGCGCTGTCCAGGGATAGCACCCTGAGGCGCCCCCAGAAGAGCCCAGAGTACGTCGGGAACCCGCTTGGATACAGGCCCATTGGAGCCCCTCTACGCTGGGCTGTTTTAGGCGATTGGATCGGGGATGGGTGAGCGACGGTTTGACCAGGATGAAGATGGGGAAACAGGGATCCAAGATGGATGGGGCGGCGGTGGGGGCGTTGTCCAAGTTGCCCGAGCAAGCGATGGAATGCGTCGCAGAGTTGCTTCGCAACCGCCTGCTGAAACGCTGCGGGGGAGCAGGGAACAAGGCAAAGGGGGCGCGCGTCATCAATCTGCTGACCAAGACTGGCTTCAGCCTGAGCGGTAGCATCGTGAACCTTCGCCCGATAACACTTCTGCCAGTGATATACAAGTGGCGCAGCCCCTGCCTGCTGTTCCTTCGCACCCCCGCACAGCGGAACCATTCGAAATATCTGTTCGCATTTCGGTCGGGGTTCCCGGCGGAGGAGGTCATGTTCATAGTTCGACAGTTGATCGAGAAGCGCGGCGAATGGGGGCCCTGAGCGCCCGCTGCTCACGTTCGCAGGAGACCTTTTTGAAAGCCCACGACTACACAGACCGCGCGGGCGTGGCAGCCGCTGGCGCGCAGCGCGGCATCCCGAAAGTACGACTGGCAGGTCTGCCGTGGGAGGTGGGAAGGATGGGGGCGATTGTTTCGTTGGACGATATGACTTCGCCCGGCCCCGTCGCGCGAGCTCGTTCCTTGGTGCCGGGGGGCCCAGCAGCACCTCTCATGTTCAATCTGAGACTCGACGCCCTGATTGATGTGTTCGCGCGGCGCTGCGAGCGTCGCGGATGGGGCTTCCGCCGGCGGGTTTCGAAGGGGGGGCCCGACCGGGACCTGTTCGCCCCGATTTTACGTTTTGCCGGCAACTTCTGGATCTTGGGGGGGGGCGAGGAAGGAGATGAAGATCACGGCGAATAACTGGTTGCAGATATTGGAGGGGGGGGGGGGTACAAGGTGGATCTGACAGAGTGCCAGTGGTCGAGAACTTCCTTTCCCGATGCTCCGTGCTGGAACGAAGCGGCGGTCCTGGCCGACGCGGAGATAGAACGAGTTCCGAGGGGCCAAACGATCGCGATCTTGGGGGCGAGAATTCCGCGCGACGGACGAGACGACGGAGCACTGGAGCATTGGATTTCTCAGGCCTGGAAGACCTGGTTTCGATGGCGCAGCGTCCTGTGCCGCCGCTCCGCCCCACTAGACAAGCGGCTGCTGCTCTGTGATAGTCTTGTGCGGAACAGTCTGTTCTGGGGGGCCAAGGGGCGGGCTCTCCGACGCGATCAGTGCGCGGAGCTGCGCGGCCTGCAGGACGCGATGCATCGTCGGGCATTCGGCTTCCGGCAGAAAAGTCACGCGCCGCGGTGCGAGTTCATGAGAGACACCGACTCTACAATAAACGCGACGAGGAGGGGGTTGGGGATCAGGGATTGGGACGTGCATTTGACAGAACTGCAATATCGGCGGGCAGGGCACCTCGAACCCATGAGTGAGCGTGACCCCGCCCGCCTCTCCCCTTCAGGTCCTCCATTTTTGAGATGCTGGGTTTTTGCGCGCGCAGGAGCAAGCTCTGGGGCGCGGTCGACGAGGCCACGCCCGCAAGCTTCGCCCCTGGAGGTCGGAATCCTTTTTCTCTCGTTGCCCTCATCTCCACCAGCCTTGGAAGTGCGTTGCCAGTCAACCTGAATTGTGGTCCTATCACATGAAGACTGTTGTCAATTGGCGTTCGTTTACAATATTCTAGTTTGTGGTTTTCTCTGATCACTTCTACTTTTCACTGGCGCCTTCGATCTCCCAGCTCCCGCAGGACCGAGACTCGGCGAGAGAGAGAGAGAGAGAGAGAGAGAGAGAGAGAGATCCACCGAAGGTCCCAAGGGTTGCGCCCGCATGCCGCCACCCCCCATCACTGTGGCACACACTTCACACGCTTCGTGGCCCCACAGGGAGCTCCAGCTAAGGACCCAGTAGCGACGCTCGCATGCCGCCTCATCCTCCTCACTTTGGCACACCCCTCACGGCCCCATCGGGAGCTCCAGCTAAGGCCCCAATGGCTGCGCCCGCATGCCGCCACCCCCTCACTTTGTCACACCACTCACACGTTTTGTAGTCACACAGGGAGCTACACCTAGGGCCCCAGTTGCTGCGCTCGCATCGCCACCCCCTCGCGTGTGCACACCCCTCACACGATCCGCGGTCCCGTAGGAATCTCCATCGCCCCCCCCTCCCCCCATATCCCCCTTCATTTATCACTCACGCGCTTCGTGGCCCCATAGGGAGCTTCACCTAAGGCCCCAGCGGCTGCGCCCGCATGCCGTCACCCTTTGATGTTGGCACACCCTTCGCACCCATCGTGGCCCCATACGGGGGCTCCACCTCGGGCCCCAATGGCTGCGCCTGCATGCCGCCACCCCCATCATTTTGGCACACCCCTCGCACGTTTCGTGGCACCATGGTGGGTTCCACCGAAGGCCTCCGTGCTGCTTTCGAATGCCGCCACCCCCCTCATTGTGGTACCCCCCTCACACGCCACTCCCCTCGCATTGGCACGCCCGTCAAACGTTTCGTGCCCGCATAAAAGCATACACAGAAGGCCTCATTGGCTGAGCTCGCATGCCACCACCCCCTCACTTCGGCGTACCCCTCACACGTTCCGCGCCCCAATTCAGGGCTCCACCGAAGGCGCCAGTGGTTGCGTTCGCATGCCGCCCCCCCTCACGTTCACACAACCCTCACACGCTTCGTGGCCCCATAGGGAACTCCACATAAGGCCCCAGTGGCTGTGTTCGTTTGCCGCCCCCTTCACGTTGGCACACCCCATCACACGTGTCGTGGCCATTGCGAGCTCAACCTCAGGCTTCAGTGGCTGCGCTCGCATGCTGCCACCCCCTCACACGCTTCGTGGCCAAATTTGGAGCTCCACATGAGGCTTCAGTGCCTGCGTTCGCATGCTGACAACCCCTCACATTGGCACACCCCTCACACGTTCAGACGCCCCATAAGAGCCGCCACCGAAAACCCCAGCGGCTGCGTTCGCATGCTGCCGGCCTCTCACATTGGCACACCCCTCACACGCGTCGTGGCCCCATAAGGAGCTCCACCTAAGGCTTCAGCGGCTGCGCCCACATCCCCCCCCCTCACTTTGACACACCCTTTACACGCTTCGTGGCCCCATCGGAAATTCCAGCTAAAGCCTCAATGACTGCGCCCGCATGCCGCCACCCCCGCCACGTTGGCACACCCCTCACACGATTCGTACCCCTATACGGACGTCCACCGAAGGCTTCGGTGGCTGCGTTCGCATGCCGCCACCCCCCTCGCGTTGGCACACCCCTCACACGCTTTGTGGCCCCATAAGACCGCCACCTAAGGTTTCAGTGGCTGCGTTCGCATGCCGCCACCCCCCTCAATTTGGCACGCCCTTCGCACGCTTCGTGGCCACATAAGGAAATCCACCTAAGGGCCGCCGCCCCCTCTCACTTTGGCATACCCGTTTCACGCTTTGTGGCCACATTGAGAGCTCCACCGAAGGATTCAGTGGTTGCGTTCGCATGCCGCCACCCCCCTCACGTTGACACACCCCTCACACGCTTCGTGGCCAAACAGGGAGCTCCATCTAAGGCTTCAGTGGCTGCGTTCGCATGCTGCCACCCCCCTCACTTGGGCGCACCCCTCACACGCTTTGTGGCCCCAAGTGGACCTCCGCGTAGGCTTCAGTGCCTGCGTTCGCATGCCGCCACCTCCCTCACTTTGGCATGCCCCTCACACGCTTCGTGGCCCCGTCAGACCCTCCACCTAAGGCTGCAGTGACTGCATTCGCCTGCTGCTGCCACCCCCCCCTCACTTGGGCACACCCCTCGCACGTTTCGTGGCCCCATAAGGACCTCCACCTACGGCTTCAGTGGCTGCGTTCGCATGCCGCCACCGCCCTCACTTGGGCACACCCCTCGCACGTTTCGTGGCCTCATAAGGACCTCCACCTAAGGCTTCAGTGCCTGCGTTCGCATGCCGCCACCCCCCATCAGTTTGACATAACCTTCATACGCTTCGTGACCCCATAGGACCCTCCACCTAAGGCTGCAGTGGCTGCATTCGCATGCCGCCACCCCCATCATTTTGGCACACCCCTCGCACGTTTCGTGGCCCCATAAGGACCTCCACCTACGGCTTCAGTGGCTGCGTTCGCATGTCGCCACCCCCCTCACTTTGGCACACCTCTCACACGCTTCGTGGCCCCATAAGGACCTCCACCTAAGGCTTCAGTGGCTGCGTTCGCATGTCGCCACCCCCCTCACTTTGGCACACCTCTCACATGCTTCGTGGCCCCATAAAGACTTCCACCTAAGGCCCCAGCGGCTGCGTGCGCATTCGGCGCCGTGTTCAGGGTCTCTGGGGCCGTCGCAGGGGCTTTTTTGTGAGCTCCCCGGGCGCCCTGCCAACGGTGTGGGAAGCTTCTCGGGGTGGCTTGAGCGTCTTTTGGGTTGGTAGGAGACACGATCGTATTAAGAAACATGAAATTATCCGGGCGGAGGACCCAACCGTATGCAGTTGTGGAGCTCCCCATGGGGCCACGAAGCGTGTGAGGGGTGTGCCAAAGTGAGGGTGGTGCCCCTGCGGGCGCAGCCGCTGGGCCTTCGGTGGAGCTCCCTATGGGGCCACGAAGCGTGTGAGAGGTGTGCCAAAGTGAGGGAGGTGTCGGCAGGCGAACGCAGCCACTGGGGCCTTTGGTGGAGCGGCCTCTGGGACCCCCCCCAGAGGCTTCGGAAAGCTTCCAGCGGCTCCCTCAAAACGGCTGCGACATGCTCCTGGACTACCCCTCCCTCAAGAGAAAACGTGATACCTCATGGGCTCCCTGAAGGCCTCCAGCAGCTCCCTCCAAACGGCTCCGATAGGCTGATAGACTCCTAGGAAATACTAAATGATAAGAACCAGCAATACCCATACTTCCTGGGACACCTCTCGCGCGGGAACGGTAGCAGAAAATAGCTGTCCGATCCAGCCGCGGACACCCAGGAACGCTATTTCTGCGATCCTTCCCGCGCCGAGCGTGTCCCAAGAGGTGTAGGGTGTCGGTGTTGGGTTCTGGTTATTCTGGGCCTCCTCCTTCCCGTCGTCGCTCTCTTCCGCCACAGGCGCCCCTCCTGCTGCTGCTGCTGCTGCTGCTGCTGCTGGAGCTGCTGCCGATGCTATTGTCCATGCCCCTGGATCTGCTGCCGCTGATATTGCTAGCGCTGCTCTGGAAGCAAACAGCGCACCCTGAAGCAATGAGCAGCAGCAAGCGCATTCAGACTACTGGCACTCGTGGGCCGTAGTCCACGGGTCACCCTTAGTCAGTTACAACGCTGGGATCAGCGCGTGCGAGAAGGGCGATCAGTGGCAGCGGTCTTTGGCGCTGCTCAGCGAGATGTGGGAGGCGAAGCTCGAGCCCGACGGCATCTCTGCATAACAATTCGGGGCAGTTGCGCGTGCGACGAGGCCCTGTAGTGAAAAAGCCGCCCCCGAGCACCCGAAGCGCCCTGGGGCGGCCCGGGGCGCCCGGAGCGCCCGGAGTGGCCCTGGGGCCCCCAGGAGGGCCCCAAGGAGCTGCGCAAGAGGGCCCAGGCCGAGCTGCCAGGCGGCTTCAGCGCCGCACCTCTCCCCAAGATGATCCAATAGGCCCCCGGGACGGCCTCGGAGAGCTTCATGTGACCTCATGTGCCTGCCCAAGAGGGCCCCTGGAGCTGCGCAAAACAGGGCCCACGCGAGGGCCCACCGCCGAGCTCCCAGGCGGCTCCAGCGCCGCACCCTGGCCCCGAGATGGCTCCGTAAGGACGGCCCACGAGAGCCCAGGAGGACCCCGCATCTCCCGAGGTGTTCCACATTCTTCCCATGAGGGGCCCAGACCGTCCCTACACAGCTCCAGGTCCTATCACGACCGTCCCCAAGGACGCCCCAGGAGCTGCCCAGGAGGGCCCAATCAAGACTCCCAGGCGGCATTTCCCGAGGTTTATCGTTTATCCTTCTCTACTCATGGCGGACGGGCCCAGACCGCCCCCCCCCCCCCAGGGCTCCAGGTCCTGTCACGACCGCGCCAAGATGGCCTAAAAGAGGCCCTCATGAGCCCACCCAGACGGCCCCGGGGGCCCCAAGACGGCCCAGAGCAGGCCTCGGAGAGCCTCGCAGAACCTCGTGGGGCTGCCCAAGAGGGCCGGCGGCCCCAGACCCCCACCCTGGCCCTACGATGGCCACAAGGGCCGCTGGGATGGCCCACGGGAGCCCAGGAGGACCCCGACGGCGGCCCCACGAGGCGAAAAATGTCACCGGCCTAACGGGCCAGAGGCGGGCCAAGATCTCCAGTAACAGGTTAACGGCATCTCTAGTTCGCGCGCGCGCGTGGCGGCCCTTGGGGGCCCCTGGACGAAAAGTACCCCGACCGATGCCCAGCTGACTCCCCCAGGGCGCTCCAGGAGCGCGCCATGAGGGCGCCGGGACTCCCGGTACACGGCCCAAAAGGCCCCGAGTCGCCGAAAGATCGCTCCAAGACGTTCAAGATGGTCTCCAGATGGCCACAGAGGCCGCGGAAAAGCCCCAAGATAGCCTCAAGAGGCTCTCCAAGAGGGCCCTAACAAGCAAACATCGTCCCAGTCTCTTGGGGAAACGTATATTTTTCGCATGTGCGATGTTTGGGGGCTCACAGCGTCCAGAACTGCCCCAGAGGCCTCCAACATCGTCCCCAGAGGCCCAACACGCTCCCAAGACGGCCCCAGGAACCGAAAAGTCCCCAAGAGGCCCCCAGGAGGCCCTAACACGGCCCCAACACTACCCGCATGAGGCTTCAGAATTGCCTCCCAGAGGGGCCCTCTGAGAGGCCAACCACGAGAGCGCAACCAACATCCATGAGGCCTCTGACCCACCACCCAGGCACGGCGAAGTGTTCCCACCGCCTCCGAAAAATGGCGGCCGCCCAGCGGCACCGTATTGACAGTAACACCCCGACAAACGACAGCGGCGAGGCAATATGGGCTGGCGGAATGAGCGAAGCGATTAAATAAGCAAAACACATACGTGTTCCAAGGTTTTCCACGCTCTCCCTCAACGGCGCTCCAGGCCCTTCACAGATCACACCGAGATGGCCCAAGTGGCCCTCACGAGCCTGCCAGGACGGCCAACGAGGGCCCCAAGACGGTCCAGAACAGGCCCCAGAGCTTCAAGTTGCCCCCCCACGACGCCCCAGGAGCTGCCCAGGAGGGCCCTAACAAGGCTCCCAGACGGCCCCGACCCCCACCTTGGCTCGGCCCCCGGGAAGGTCCAAGCAGGCCCACGAGGACTCCGAAGACGGCCCCACGAGGCCAAAAATCAAGAAGCACAGGTTGTGTATTTCCACATGGTTTTGCACATTCCCGCAATGACAAGCCAGGAACGGCCCCTGGCTCCAAGCCTGTTTACGATCGCCCAAGATTGCCCGAAGCCCCGACGAGCGCACCAAGACAGCCCACGAGGGCCCCACACCCCCAAGACCCCCAGACGGCTTGATAGAGCTTCAGCTGGCCTCCCGACATGCTCCCAGAGCTTCCCAAGACGGCCCCGCACCCCCGCTGGCTCTACGGCAGCCGTGGAGGCCCCCGGGACGGCCCCAGAGGGCCCCAATGTGGCCTAAGGTGGCCGCACAATTGCGCCCCAGACGGCCAACGAGGGCACCCCAACACGCCTCGAGCCCCCTCCAGCCGATTAGGGGTGACAACCGGGACCTTCTCCTACCTTTGCTGCCTCGGCCTCCTCCTCCTCCTCTGGGTGCCTGCGCGCCGCGCCCCCCTCCCCAGTTCCGTCCCCCTCCTCCCCCTCCTCCCCCTCCTCCTCCTCCTCCTCCTCCCCCTCCTCCTCTTGCGAGAGGATGCAGCGAGACTGGACTACGAGCTTCCCGCAGCCGTCGATGCCACGAGAACACGCTGCAGAGCCTCGCTCGGGCAGCGGCGCGGCGCCGGGGGCTCCCGGATTGGCGGCTGCTGCTGCAGCGCACGCGCGCCGCCATGTCGGTGGAGCTGCGGCCGCGCCCTCTCCAGCAGCGGCGCCCCCGCCGCGGACGCGCGAGCTCCATGAGGAGGAGCGCGGGGCGGCCGCCTTCGAGCAGGAGCGGCCCGCCGCGCCGGGGCTCCTGCCTAGCGCTCCCTCGGCCGACGGCCCAGAGGCGCCGGGGCGCCGCTCGGGCGAGCTGGAGCAGAGCGACGGCGGAGGCAGACGGCGCCGGGCTGCGCGCCAGGTGGCGATTTCCGCCCCTGGTCTGACGGCCCCCCCTTTGCGAGACCTGCAGACCAGGGGGGGAATTTCTGGCTCCTCCGCGCTCCGCCCAGGGCCAGATGGGCGCCTGCGCGAGCGGAGGGCCGAGTGGTTCGAGGCGCTGCGGCTCGTATACGGGCGGGGCCAGGAGAGGTGAGTGGGGAAGGCTCTTGCCCTGGACTCGCAGGGTGGCGCTAGTCCCATTGGGTTTGTAAATGAAAAAAGCGGGAACCCTCCAGGTACCTCTCCGAGATAGCCTTGGCCTTCCCAGGACTTTTGCAGACAGCCTCCAGCCCTGGAAGCCTGTCGGTCACGATCGCGCCCGTGTCGCCTGCGATCGACGGCGCGTGCGCGTTGGAGACCAACACCTTGACATGCCAGCCGTAGATCCCCCACGGGTTCGCACTAGTCTGCACTAGAAATTTGGGCGTTGCGGGTTTGAAAAGGAGATGTAAGTATCGAAAAAGTTGCCCCCGGACTGGTCGCAACCTAAAGGATTCCTTTCCAAACCTTTCTGAAGAACACCGGATTGCAACCGATCCGAGAGGTTCTGCTGAGCTTTTGCAGGGCTTTCAGCGAGGCCTCCGAGAGGCCTCAGTGGGGCTTCTGAGAGGCCTCAGCGAGGCCTTTCAGAGCCTTCTCTGAAGCCTTTCAGAGGCTTCTCTGAAGCCTTTTTTAAAGGCTTCTCTGAAGCCTTTCAAAGGTTTTTCTGAAGCCTTTCAGAGGCTCGCGGCCCGAGAATAAGACCGATCACGACCACTTCGGACTGTTCAGGAACTACTTCGGTCTGAGAAGTATTTTCATCCTGAGATGTGTGTGTGTGTGTGTGTGTGTTCCTGGTTGCTTTGCTCCAGAGGTCCCCACAGGTTGCACAAGTCCCAAGGATCCCACCGTTCCCGCCTGCCCCGCAGGCCCCACAGGTCCCACAGGTCCTGTGGTGCCCGGGCCCAGGGGCCGTTCAAAAGTGATTCGGCATGCAATGTTGGTCAACTGTAGGTTCATGCGGCGTCTGGCACGCCGGCGACGTTGGCGAAGGCGTTCAAGGCTGCATTCTGCGACGCGGAAGCGCCGAGGGAAATGGTGGGGCCATTGCACCCGACAAATTCAACCTTGAACGATCGGGGCCGCGATCGATTCAACGTTGAGCGATCGACGCGGTGCCAACAGCCTTGCGAGTGCCGACGCCGCGCGAACCTACCGCAGGGTCATTCGTCCAGGCCTGTGGGGGTCGACGTTCCAGAATAGTCATGATGTTGGGGATCTGGGCCGCCGCCTCTTTCCGCCTTGCCATCCTGTCCTCAGTCCTACATTACCGTTCTGTGAGCTCCTGCAGGAGCATCTTTCCGAGACGACGTTGCCGCCATGGTGCCGCCGCCCCCCGAACCTGGCCCAGTGCTGCGTGGCCCCAAGAGGCCGCGTTGGAGCTGCGGGCTGCGCGGGAGGACGGAGAACTGGGCGAGCCGCATTGTCTGCCAGCGCGGCAGAGCGGCGCCCAGTCGCATCGCGGCGGCCGCCAAGAAGAACCACGCAGCGGGTGCTGGGCGCGAGAGCGGCTCCAAGGAGCCGAGGATGCCCGAGCAGCTCTCCGAGTGGATGGCGTCGATCGAGAAGCGCCTCTTGCCCGAGGGCGAGGCCTGGCCTCCGCCGCGTCCAGCGACGCCCGCGACCTGGGCCACGGCTGCTGCTTCTGTGCACGGAGACAGTCATGACGAAGGGGTTGGTGGTGGCAAGAAGGCTGAGAGCTCCAAGCCCGCTGCGCGGGCGACTGAGCTGGAGGACCTTGCGGCGGCTGCCCGACACCGAGTGCAACAAGAACTTGCGGACGCCCATCCAGCTGGAGCTGGACCAGGCCCGGGAGAAGCGAAAGGCGCTGCTCAGCCCTCAGGCTGCCCACCGGCGTGCGCAGGAGGACCTGCGCCGCGCCAGGGCGGCCTTGCAGCGACAGCAGACTGAGCTCGCTGAGAAGGAGCGCCAGATGGCTGAGATGGCCAAGGGCATCGAGGTGCGCAGGCATGGCATCGAGGCCAAGCAGAAGGAGGTTGAGGAGCTCTCGGCTCTCTTCGAGCGCACGGCAGCAGCTGTCGCTGAGCCCGCATCCTCTGCCACTTTCGAGTTCAAGGACGAGGAGTTGGAGGGCGAACCCGAACTCCAGGCCTTCCTCATGAGTGCTGGATGGGAGAAGCTGCGAGGCCTCCTCTCTGGCAAGGTGGCCGCGGCTGCTGCTGCGGCTGGTCCTGTTGCTGCTGCTGCTGCTGGCTCTGGCGGCCCTGAGCCCATGGCCACCGACGCAGCTGGCGAGGCCAAGGACGCCGCTGAGCCAGTCTTCAGCGAGGCGCAGCGCAAGCGTCTGTTCGCTGCCCAGAGCGAGAGCGAGGAGGCCTCCAACTCCGCCTTCGACGCCATCGTCGCCGAGAGCGCGGAGAAGCGCCAGCGGCGAGGGTAGCGGCTGGCCCTCTGTCTGCGGCTTGCCCGGTCGCGGACGCGCGGCGCCGTGCGGCGCCAAGCCGGCAGCGCTGGCGGAGTTCCCAATGGGGACGTACAATGCGAGCGGCGGCAAACGGTCAGTGAAGCGGAGGCTCGCCAACACCGACGCTGCCGTGGTGCTGCTGCAGGAGTTTGGGCACGTGGCCGAGCACGTTGAGGCTCTGGTCACATGGGCGTCCAACCGAGGGTGGCGACTGATGTCCTTACCTAGCCTTCCGACGGCGGGCGTTATCCCATCGGCAGACGTGGCGGTGGTTGTTCGCGATGGCTGCGGACTTCGTGGACCTGCTGTCGGAGTTCGCGAGGTTGTGCCGCATCGTGTTCAACATGTTGTTCTGGATGTTCCTCAGTGGCCGACGCCGCTGCACATTTTCAACGCTTAGTTGCATGATGGTCAAGGTGCTGGAGGTCGTAACGGGCCCCTCCTCGAGGCTCTCGGCCTTGCGGCGTCGCAGATCGACGCGCCTGCCGCGATGGGCGGTGATTGGAACATGGTGCCGGTAGAGCTTGAGGATTCGCTATTCCCTGCTACTTGCGGAGTGGCGCTGGCGGCGACGTCGGCGATCACCTTTCGCGGCGGCACCGGCAGTACGACGATCGACTACTTCGGCCTCAACACGGCGGCGATGCGGGCTTTCGCCGATGTCAGCATCGACTCCGCCTGGGCGCGCTGTGCGCATCGCCCTGTTCGCTTGGCCCCGAAGGGCAATGCGGCGCACCTGCAGAGGCTGGTCTACACCGTGGTGCCCAAGATGAGTGTCAAGCGTGTCATCGGCCCCCTGCCCGAGCCCCCCCCCTGGGCGGCGGCGCGGCAGCTGGCGGGGGCTGCTGAGGAGGCGCGCCTTGATGAGGACACCCCGCCAGGAGTGGGCTGGGGGTTCCTATCTGCAGCCTGGGGCACGCTGGCGGTGCAGGCTGCGAACCAGATTGCCGGCGCTGTAGGCCATGGGGCGTGCAGCGCTGCAGCGTTCGCGCGCCCTCTTCGGCCTCGCTGGGTCGACATAGCCTATACGATGAAGGACCAGACTGATCTGCAGGCAGTTGGCCGACGGATGGACCTGGCTCCAGAGCGCGCTGGCCCACATCCTGCAGCTGGCCGGCGGCGGAACTACAGGAACCGAGGCTACATTGGCGCTCAGCCAGCTTGCTGACGAGGTCCTGGCCGCCCACGCGGCGCAGTACCCCGGGCTGGGGCTCTCAGCGCGACTCGATGGTTCAGTTAGCCAAGCTCGCAGGTTGGTCAGCGGGGTCATCGATGAGCAGGCCTGCAAAGACTTCCCGGCGGACATTGAGGAGGACGTGAAGCTGGCGGCGCGAGGGGCTGATCGAGATGATCGGGCCCGCTGGAAGGAGTGGTGCGCCATGGCCACTGCAGGTGGATCGCGCGCGTTGCATCGCGCAGCGAAGGTGAGGGCGGTGGCCGAGCCCACTGTGGTAGCGACGGCCAGTGGCAGCCTTTCTGCTCATCCTCGCGATCTCGTTCGACATGAGGTGGCCGTCTACCAGCAGTTATGGCATGCAGGTCAGCCTGGTGATGCTTGGATACCCGACCGCAGTGTGCTGCCGAATGCTACGCCTGAGCAGATTCGCGCCGTCGCGCTGACACTCCCGACCGCGACGACGGCTGCCCCTGATAACATTCATCCTCGGCATCTGGCTCTTTTGGATGACGAGGCCCTGGTGGCGCTGGCGGATTTCTTCACCGCCAGTGAGGCCATCGGCCTCCTCCCCAGACAGTTGACCTGGATGGTGACTCCCATGATTCCGAAGACTTCCGGGCCAGGGCATCGGTTGGTGGTCCTCTACGCGGGCATCTACCGCGTGTGGCAGCGGCTGCGTCGGCCGATGCTCAGCGACGTGCAGGCGTCGGTGGACCGCCCCTACTGGGGCGCGGCCCGTGGTCGCTCGTCTGTCGACTGCGCCTGGCTCCAAGCAGCGGAGGCTGAGGCGGATATTGGCCAAGACTACCACGGGGCGCTGGCTGTGGCCGATTTCAGCAAGTACTATGAGCGCATCCATCTGGAGAGGTTGCGCAATAAGTGCCAGCTCTTCAAGACGCCCTTGGTTTCTCAAGCTCGCCTACAACATGTGGAGGGCGCCGAGGAGGTTGCTGCGGCTGCAGGGCCACTTTGCGGAGTTCGCGCTCTGCGCCGAGTTCGGCCTGCCTGCAGGTGATGCGATGTGCGACATCTCTGTGAAAGTGTGGTCGGTACTCGACTACGACGCCCTGCTGGAGAGGCAACGAGGCGTCTCCTTTCTGTCGTACATCGACGACAACTCGTTCAGAGTATCTGCTCGAGAGAAAGGTACTACTGTTGCTAGGATGGTGAGTGCCATGCGCGACTTTCAGCGCGCTGCCGACGACCTCGAAGCCGTGGTGAATGATGAGCTGGCCATCGTCGGCACCACCATGGACGTTGCTCGGCAGATCGTCAGTGAGTTGGGCCTGCCGGCCAAGGTAGCTAGGCGCAGTGCTGTGCACGTGGGCGTCGACGTCGCTGAAGCTCGAGAGCGCGGCGCCCCTGGCATTCACAAGAGGCGTGCTGCGCGCGGGCGCCACCTCGTCCGCAGGCTTCGCGAGTGTCGTCGACTCGGGAAGGCCATGGCCGGCCCGAAAGCGAAGTCGATTGGCGCAGTGATTCGTGCCGGAGCGCTGCCTGAAGCCACGTATGGCAGTGAGGTGGCAGGGGTCGACAACGGCGAGTGGATGCAGTTGCGGCGAGCCCATCATCGTGGGCGGCTGCGTGTGCTTGGAGACGGCGCTGCTGCGACGGCGGTGGCGCCAGCGGTGCAGTGGCGCCGTATGCTGTGGCAGGCCGAGGCATGTGATAACCCCCTAGCCTCGGCGGCGCGACTCCTTCGACTGTGGCGCGAGGCGCGGCCCACGGAGGTCGAGTCCTGGAAGGACAGCCGTGGACCTCTTAGCCGAGCAGTGCTAGCTGCTAGGCGTGCTGGGTGGCATGTCGCGTCTGCTACGGTTTGGCGCGATTACCGTGGGTCCGAGGTCCGTGTCGATAAGATGCCACCCAGCATGCTTAGCACTCTTCTGGTTGCAGGCATTCAGCGTCAGCATGAGCTGACCCTTGCAAGACATCTTGGAGCTCCTGAGGGATATCGAGCGTCCCTGGATTTCGTTCGGTCGAGGCTCGGTGATCGCGCTCGGGGGTTCACGGGTTTCGGGAAATTCCTCATTGGGAGCTGCTCCTGCCGGGGGGTCTGGACCAGAGCCAGGGCCCAACAGGCTGGATACGTGTGCGATGGCCTCTGAGAGTGCGGGCAGCGAGACACGATAACGCACCGCTTGTTTGAATGTTTACTTCCCCGTGTAGTGGAAGCGCGATTGGCTTCAGGCGTCACCTGCAGAATTCGTGCAAAGTGGTCTTGAGTCTCAGGACCCCATCTTTACGCAGGGAGTGTTCATGCACCCCGAGGCCGAGATTCCGCCCCCCTCCTGCTCAGACCAGGTCGTTCTTGAGGGGCCACGAGGAGAGAGCTTGGATGTTTTGGTTGAGGAGATCGGTGCTTTGGTGTCCGGTCCAAGGCTTGAGATCGCTCCCGATGGCTCCTGCTCCAGGCCTGGCCTCGTCGAGCTCGAAAGGGCGTCTTGGGCAATTGTTGTGCTCCAGGAGAATTCTGAGCCAGCTGCTGTGCTTCGCGGCCCTGTGGCAGGGTATTTGGTATTTGCCGCAGACCCCGTCGATAGCTGAAAGTGTTGGCTTGTGTTTGATAGGGCAGTTTGCCGATCGGGACACGCTGGCAGGCGTAGACTGCATGGCTGCTATTCGTAGGTATCAGCAGCCACTGTACCATCAGATGCGTGCTTCCAACCAGGCTGCGGGCATTTTGAAATCCGGGCGGAGTCTCGAGGGCCACCGGCACATCTCAGCGCGGCATGTGAAAACCCACAGGTCGACAGAAGAGATGGAGCATTTGAGCCCCGAGGAGCACCGCTGGGCGCAAGCTAATTGGCTGGCAGATCACCACGCGAAGATAGCTGCGCGAATGCACCCGATGCCCGAGCCTGCATTTCTAGCTGCCCTTGATGATGCCAGAAGCCGAGCAAGCTCGTTCACGCAGCTTGTGAGCAAAAACGCTGGCGGCGTTCCATTGCCATTCAAAGGCAGAAGAAACAAGTGCGGCGGGAGGGGTGGCACGACTGGCGGTTTGGGGAGCTTGGGTGGCAATGCGCCTTCTGCTTTAAGGTGGCGCCTGAGGCTGCTAAACTGCCACTCGTAGGTTGTCTTGGGACCCCGAAGTTTTTGGGCCCCCTGTCTCGGGCCAGTCTTGGTCATCAGATCGTCGTTGTGGCAGGTAGTAGGTTGGCTCCCCTTCATGATGTTAAGCCGGAACCCGAGGTTCGTCGAGGTTCGCTCTTGCGTGTCCGCTGTGGCGCGTGGAGCCAGGAGAAGGCAATCAAACTCCCTCAACCCTGTTCCGCCCCCACTCGCACGGGGCTCGAAGTGCTGTCGCGCTTTAGGCGTGGCCTTGATCCAAACCCGCGAATTCGAGCGTTGATCGATAGAGCGGTCCCTGCTGCCAGAGTCGATGCCGAGTTTCGCACGGCCCGTTCAGTGCAGGAGTCGACAGCAGTGTCCACTTTTGTTGCCGACAGCCCTGTGCCTTATGAAGAGCGGATGGCTCGACTGTGCGAGCGCATCCGTGCCAAAGAAGAGGCTGCCCGGCGGGGTGTCTAACTGCTGGCTTGTGGCTCCTAGGGCGTGGGCGGGGCTTTTTCGGCGGAATAACCGCCCGAATTTCCGCCCGAGTTTCGGCCACGTTCGCAGGACAGCGTTGGGGTGTGCCGGCCCATCCGCTATCGTCCTTCCCAGGCCCATGTATGTTTTCTGGGGATGCCAGCCCATCCTCGGTACAGCGTTTTGGAGCCGAATTTCGTGACATTTTCGTTGCTCCTTTAAGGCTCTTGCACTGCTATGCTGTGCGGTGCGTGAGGTATAGCACAGCACGGCATCCTTTGTTCGGCTCGCTGGGTCTCCTGTCGAGCCCCACCGTTCCTGAAGGTGTGCTCCTGTCGTGGGCCTGCCGAGGGATATCGCCCCTCTCAGCAGCGCCAACAAAAACCTCCCCTTCAGACTTTATTTGCGCTCAGCGGGCAAGGCCCTCCCACCGCGGACACGCGTCCTCGGTGCCGTCCTATCCTATCCTATCCTATCCTATCCTATCCTATCCTATCCTATCCTATCCTCCTCCTCCTCTTCCTCCCCCTCCTCCTCCTCCTCCTCCTCCTCCTCCTCCTCCTACTCCTCCTCCTCCTCCTCCTCCTCCTCCTCCTCCTCCTCCTCCTCCTTCTCCCCCCCTCCTGACATGCAATCCGTTTCACACCAGGCGTTTTTGTTTTTTCGTTTTCAATCGTACACCAATCACATAGGAACCGGATACGGTTCATGGCCACGTTCGAGCTCAAGTACATGTGTTTAGTTGATATCGGAATCGGCCGTCGGTGATCGGACCGATCGCAACCGCTTTTTCAGATTCCCATTGGGCGGTTTAAGGGGGCTCTTTGCACCCAAAGGCGCTCTTATGATCTCTTCCTTAATCGAAGCCTTATTGAAACGACCCAACAACATCGCAACCACTTCGGACCGATAGCAACTGGTTGCGATCGGTCCGAAGTGGTTGACGATCGGTCCGAAGTGGTTGCGATCGGTCGTGCTCGCGCCCCAGGGGCTGCACAAGAGGGCCCACGCCGGGCTCCCAGGCGGCTCCAGCCCCCCACCCTGTCCCCAAGATGATTCAATCTGCTTTCAAGACTGCCCACGAGTGCCCAGAAGCCCAGGAGGACCCCGATGACGGCCCCACGAGTATTGTCAAACATTTTCGACATTTCTCCCCATGACGAGCCCAGACCGTCCCCGCACAGCTCCAGGTCCTAGAACGACCGCCTCCAAGAACGCCCCAGGAGCTGCCCAGGAGGGCCCTAACAAGTACTCCCAGACGGCCACAGACCCCCACCTTGGCTCCAAACTTGCCCAAGAAGCCCCCGGGACGGCCCAAGCGGGCTTACGAGGACTCCGAAGACGGCCCCAAAAGGCCAGAAATCAAGCAACAGTTTTGTGTTTTCGAATGTTCCCCAAACTCGCACCATGCCAGACCCAGAACGGCTCCAGGCATTTTCGCGACCACCTTGCGATGGCCCGAGAGGCCCCGACGGGCGCGCCAAGACATTCCAAGAGGGCCCCACGCCCACCAAGACCGGCTCCAAACGGGTCGCCACCCCGAGATGCCCCAGAACTTACCCGAGAGGGCCCCGACCGAGCTCCAGCACGGCCCCAGACCCTCGCCAGAGCCCCCGACGGCCGTGGAGGCCCCCTGGACGGACGGCCCGAGGGTGCCCCACAACGGCTCAAGAGGGCTCCGCAAGCTGTTAGAGACAAGGGATTGCCCACGATGGCACCCCAGCGCGTCTCGAGCCCCCTCCCGCCGACTGGGGGTGACGAGGGAGACCTCCCATCTTCTCTGCCTCGGCTTCCTCCTTTTGGAGCCGGCACCCCCTCTCTCCGGCACCGCCCTCCTCCTCCTCCTTCTTCTTTGTCTCTCTCTCTCTCTCTCTTTCTCTTTTTTTTTGTTGATTTTCTCTCTCTCTCTCTCTCTCCCTCTCTCTCTCTCCCTCTCTCTCTCTCTCTCTTTCTCTTTTTTTTTCTCTCTCTCTCTCTCTCTCTCTCTCTCTCTCGAGAGAGAGAGAGAGAGAGCGAGAGAGAGAGAGAGGCCCCGACGGGCGCGCCAAGATGACCCAAGAGGGCCCCACGCCTGCCAAGACCGGCTATAGACGGTTCCATTGAGCGTCTGGTGCCCCCCGAGACGCCCCAGGAGTTGCCCAAGAGCTCTCTCCAGTACCGCCCTCCTCCTCAAAGCGACTGTGGCGGGGGACCCTGGGGCCCGAGGACCTGCCCCATCGGCTGTGGCTTCGTCGAGAGCTCAGGACGGTGCTCCCACGGTGATTCCTGGCGACTCCTCCCAGCCTGTGGCAAGGCCCCTCGACCCAGAGGACGAGGCAGCAGAGTGGCTTTTCGGCGGCGCGGACGAGGACGATCCGTGCCCGCCAAATTTGTCGTGAGATGCGCCTGAGAATTCCTTGCGTGCCAGCGTGCTCCGGCAGAGCGTTTCCCGAGCACGCTGGATGAATCTGAAGACGGCTCTCTCGGCACCAGGGTCTTGGTGTTAGTTTCGACTTTCCCCTTGGTGCTGCGATGCCGAGCTGCGAGCTGTGCCGCGTGGACGGCCACACTGCGTAATCCTTACAGCGTAATCCTCCTCCTCCTCCTGCAAGAAGATGCAGCGAGACTGGACTACGAGCTTCCCGCAACCGTCGATGCCACGAGAACCCTCCAGGTACCATTCCGAGATAGCCCGGAGTCGCCCTCAAGACCTTCCCCATGCGGGTTCGGGACCAAGGTGTTCGTCTTCGACGAGCTGTTCACCCATTGTGTGTGAGGCCCAGGTTTAGCACACCGTGAATTCAATCCACGAGTTCAGACTAGTCAGCTACAATGCTGGGATCAGCGCGTGCGGGAAGGGCAAGCAGTGGCAACGGGCCCTGGCGCTGCTCAGCGAGACGTGGGAGGCGAAGCAGGGTCCCGACGCGGTCTACAGTGGAAGCCCACGCCAAGAAACACCTTGCTTGCCGCCAGGGTGCCCTGGGCTTCGCGGGATTCGATGGTTCTGCTATGGAGAGCGCGACGCTTCCACACCAAAAGTCAATGGACGTCCTGGGGCCTCAGGGTTGGGTTTCTTGTGGAAGGTTTCTAGTGGTCGAGCCCCTACTGTATACTACACTACCGGGATCCGCGCGTGCGGGACGGCCCTGAGGTGGCAAGGCCCCAGACGGCCTCCGCGACGGCTCCAGGGACGGCCCCAGACAGCCCCCACGGCGGCCACGGGGGACCCCGGCGGACGAGGGCCGAGCACGAGACGGCCCCAGAAACGCCACGACGGCGTCAGGGCCACGACGGCGTCAGGGTGGCTCCGAGAAGCTGCCGGGTGCTTTCGCGGAGGGCCCCTCGCAGGCGAGAGTGGCAAATTTTAGACGCCTCGCGTAGCCCCGACAGCCCATCCAGAAACGATGCCCAGGCGAGTTGCCTTGATCAGGGATGTGGTGGAGCATGCAGTGGGAGAGAGCGGGGGAAGCCGTCACACCCCAAGAGGGGGAGGATGGAGGAGGAGGAGGAGGAGGAGGAGGAGGAGGAGGAGGAGGAGGTACAGCGTGGGAGCGCGCGCTTTCCTGCCCCTGCCCTCATGGCGCGTGCTTCTTGGCACCAGGCTACTTTAATTCCGGGCCCGCGCGCGGCCCCTCGTTTTTGCGGCCTCCCTGCGACTTCTCCAAAGGCGATCGATGTATGCAGCAGGGGCGCAAGAGGATGTATGCGGCCGCAGCGACATGCGTTTGTCTTGCGAGTGCTCTCGGGGCAACGGTGTCGCGTTCGGAGCAACATTCCCGAGGTTTCGGCAGCCGCAGCCTGCATCACCGAGCAGCAGCAACGGAATAGCACCAACACGCGTTCATGTCACCTGCGCCAAACAGCACGCATCAAGCATGAACAGTCAGCGCCAAGCAACAGCAGCATCAAACCGCAACAAGCAGGTGCCACCAGACAGCAGTTGTGAGCAGCAGAAACAGGAACTGCAAGCAGCAGCACACAACACTGAACAATAGCAACCCGTAGCAAGTGGGAGCGAACCGAATGAAGCAAGCACACAAGAAACCAGGCCTGCAGACCAGCATACAAGCAGGCAGGCATGCAAGCAATCTGTCGAACCCGCATGCTGACAGCCACACCAGCAGAACTGGCAGAAAGGAGCTACAGCCTCCAATAGCAGGCAGCAGCGGCAAGAGGCAGTGCGTGGCGGCAAAACGCATTCAGAGTACTAGCGCTGAACAGCAATCAGCAGCAATGAATCGCAGTAAACAGCCGCCAGCACCAGCAAATAACCAGTTGCTGAAGCTCCAAACAACGGCAACTAACACCAAGTAGGATCAAGCATCAGCAGGCGGCAGTAGGCGGCAGCGAGCGGGCAAACAAGCGACGAAGCGACCAATCTAGCAGGCAAGCCTGATATTGGACACGCTGACCAGCATGCGAACAGTAACTTCGGAGAGAGCTGTCAGGCCAGCAGGGTAGCAGCTATGTGCGCATAGCATGAAAGCAGGTACGCAGGCATGCGATCCCAACCCTTGAAGACGAGCACACTGTCGTCGTGGCCGGAAGTCCACGGGTCAGCCCTAGTCTCTACGACATTGCAGAACTACGTACCCGAGTGTCTCCTACAACGCAGGGATCAGTGCGTGCGAGAAAGGCGGGCAGTGGCAGTGGGCTTTGTTGCTGTTCAGCGAGATGTGGGAGGCGAAGCAGGAACCCAACGCCATCCTTCTTTCTAGTTCCAGCTGGTGCGGATGCGAAGGGAGCGAGCAGTGCCACGGGGACCTCTGGAGCCCTTGGAACGCCTCAGAGCCTCTCAGAGAGGGCACCAAAGGAGCTCCCAGGATGCACCCACCACCGCCACAGGCCCCATAGACGGCCCCAGACGCCGAGACGCCACAAGACGCTCTAAGGTGGCGTCAATCTTGTCCCAAGAGGCTCCAAAAATGCCCCCCGAAGGACCCTCAAGAAACTGACATTGTTCAGTTCTACGGGGGAGTCGTGCATTTCTGTGAGTCTGCGCACTTTCGCTCCACATGTTCCTGAGAAGTGCAAGTGCCTGCCAGAGGCTTCTAAGAGGCCCGAGGAGGCCAACAAGAGCCCTCCCAAAAGGCCCCAATACGCCCATAAAATAGGCCCAGCATGCCTCCAAGATGGCCCAATGACAGATCCAAGACAGCTCAATACCGACCCAAGGCAGCCCCAATCAATACCTTCCTAGGGACGGCGTCTAGACCTCCCAGAGCGTCGGCTCCAAAACGACCCTCGTATGGTCCAAGGTGGGACCCCATTTACCTATATCTTTGGTAGTTTTTACGCCCAGTGTTGCCGGATTGCCTGGCAAAGAGAGAGGCGCCGACCAGCGCCAAGCATGAGCAGCAAGTACAGGCTCGACCGATGAGAACGTTGAGCAGGCAGCACCCAACAATCCTTAGCAGCAGGCTGCAACATCGTGCTTCAAGCGGCAACGGCTAGCAGAAACACCATTCGGCAACAGCCAGCGGCAGCTGCAGCAGCAGCAGAAGCAGCCTCAATCAGCACCCAAGTGGTCGAACGCAGCACCACCAAGCTGCAGCAAGCAGCAGCACGCGCCAACAAATACCAATCAGTCGCGGCGAGAAGCAGCACGCAGCAGCGAGCAGCAGCAAGCAGCTGCAAGCAACACCAAGCAACACCAAGCAGCAGCAAGCGGCAGTAAACGGGAGGGGACGGACAAGAAAGCAAGGCGGCAAGAGGCAAAGAAAGCAGGCGAGCTGGCCACAGACTGTCGGGCCACCAGGCCAGCAATCCCGCGAGCAGGAGTCCAGTCAAGCGGACAAAGCGAGCCTCAGCCTTGACTGTGAGTAAGCTTTCGTGGCCGCCGGGGGGACTCCAGGGTTGGACCTAATCGGTGTTTTTGGTGATTTCGTGGGCCGGTTTCGTTTCGGCTTCGTTTTGCAGTAAACGCGGACTCGAGACAAAAGCGAGGGAAACCGGAAACAAGACGAAAACGAAAAACACCGTTTAGGCTCAGCCCTCGGGGATTCCGATCAGATCAGTTCGCTTGCCGTGGATGGAATCCACGGGCCGACGCTGGTCTATACACTTACAGCGCCCAGGGGAACCGTTTGCCAGAAGAGCAGGGGGATCAATGGGGTCAAAATTGGTCCCGGCTGGCCCCAGGGGGCTCCAGCAAGGCTTCTGAGGGCCTCGGAAAAAAATAGCGAACATTCATGCCACCTTCACCTGTCAACGCCTCCCCCTCCCCCCAATGTTCAAAGTTAGCGGTGGGTCTGATGAGTTGCACCTCGACCGCAGTCTCCCCCGCGCGTGCCAACTTTGGGTTTGGGGGGGCAGGGGGGGTGTTCACTGAGTGTTTCCCTCTACTGGAGGGCCCCCCAAGACGGCCCAAGAGGGTCCGAGACGCCTCCAGACGGTCCAAGAGGTCGCCAACATGGCTTTCGGACGGCCGCACAGTGCCAGAAAACGGGCTCCAAGACGCCCCCACGAAGGGTCCCGAGAGGCCCAAATCATTAATTTCCGTTGATTTTTGAAGTGTCTCAGGGTTCTCGCCTTTTCGTAGCTTCCACGCTCCAAGCCAGCCCCAGGGACCCCAAGATCGTGCCAAGCTGGCCCAAAAGGCTTCCCAAGAGAGCTCCCAAACAGCCAAAGATGGCCCCAAGACGGCCCACCCCAAGACGGCCCCAAGAGGGCCCCACCAGGGGGAACTCGAACCTCACATGTCGCGCCCTCCGCTCCAGGATGATCCCAGAAACCACCATCTGGCCCCCAAGAGGCCCCCCAGACGCCCCAGAAGGCCCCCGAAGAGGACCAAATCAGGTCCCAAGAAACCCTCGAGAGGCCACGAGATACATCAAGATACCCCCAAAACCGCTTCCAAGAGGCTTCCGATGGGAAAGTCCCTCGGGAGAGCTCTGAGACCGCGCCAGCCACCCTGGAAAATAAGGCGCCCATGTGCCTCTCGTTTTCTCCACTCCTTTGGAAAGGCTCCATTCTAGTTGGGCGACTCGTCCAGGAATTCTTCTGAGAGTGCTCCGGACAGGCTGGCCACGGGGGGCATGCTCCGCAGTGCCTTCAATCTTCTCCCGAGCCCACGCAGCCCGCGCGCATCTTCCGACCTCCTCGGGCGGTCACAACCACTATAGAACATCGTTAGAAAAGAAGGCCCACTGTTGCTTCTTAATTTCCAGCCTTGGCCCTAATACAGCTTCAAGGTGGCTCGAGATCATCCTGTGGCGGCCCAAGACGTCCCCATTGCCCGAAAGGCAGCAGCACGAAACGCGAAACAGGCAACAGCAACGCCAGCACACAACAATGGCAAACAGCAACAACAGCAGCAGCAGCAGCAGCAGCAGGTAGCGATTAGCAGCACGCACCAAGCAGATGTGGCCATCAGTAGCACCCTTCAGCCACAAGCAACAACGACACGCAGCAGCGGCAAGCATTACCAACACTATGCAACAGCGGCAGCAAACAGCAGCACGCAGAGGCATGCGCCGAAGGCGGGGGGCGAGCCCCGCGTGCAAATGACACCCCCAGAGGCCCAACACACTTCCAGACGGCCGCAAGACGCTTCCAAGCTGCTCCTACTGCAGGGGCAGCGGACGACAGGCGAGAGGAAGTGGAAGAGGAGGAGGAGGAGGAGGAGGAGGAGGCCAGGCTTCAGCAGCACGAAGCAGAAACAGTGGTAAGTGGACGAATTCCACGGTTCCTCGACAGCCAGTTGCAGGACCGTTGGGAGGTCGGATCGGCGACAACCAGGCCTGCCCAGTCTCGATTTGACCTCTCTCCCGCGCATTGTGCGCATCCACGCTAAATGTTACTGCTCGCTGCTTTCTCGTTCTCTCTCTTTCTGTCTCTCGCTCCCTCTCTCTCTCTCTTCCTGCTTGCTCCAGTCTACGGTCTCCTCCTCTTCCTCGTCGCGGTTCGCCGTCGGCTCACTTCCAATGGTTCTTTCTAGGCTAGAGGCAACGAAGCTACGTCAAAAGCTCCTGGCCCCGCGCCAGCAACCCAGGAACCCCAGGCCCCCATGTTCTTCCCGCGCCCTCTTCGTTTCGGAGCAGCCCACGCCTGAACGGCAGAACTGTCGAGGGGCCCCCGGCCATCCAGGAAAATGAGGCACCCATGTGGTTCGGGATCTCCCGTCGCGCTGGAGCAGCCCCCGCATCACTGAGGGTCCAGCCGAGGAGTCGCCTCCTCTCTTCTGGTTCTTTTCAAGCTGGCCTACCCAGGAAACTGAGACATCCGTGCCCTTCATATTTTGCCGCCCCTTCCTTCGCCTCCCTGCTCCCGCCTTCCTTGCGCTTCCCTGCCGCTGCGCATCCTGCTGAGTCGCGCCCGCGCATTGGCCGGAGATTCCTCGCAACGGCCCCGACGAGCCAGGCGCTGCCCAATTTGCTCCTCGTCACTTTCAGAGCGAGCTGCCCAGGGAGACCGGGCACGGATGCCGCCCTGAATTTTCCCTCGACGCCGCCCCGCTGCCCGCGCTGCTCCTCGCCTTCCGCTTATTCCTCGCCCCGTGCCACTGCGCGGCCCAGTTGAGTCGCGCCCGCTCGGTGGGCGGAGACCCGCCGCGCCCCCCCCCCCCCCCCGCGAACTGGGCGCCCAGACGCGCCGGGCGCCCAGGCTGTTCTCTGATCATCTTATCTCCGGAGCGGGCTGCCCAGGGAACGACAGGCCTCGGAAAAAAACAGCGAACACTCATGCCATATTCATCTGTCAACGCCTCCCCCCCCCAATGTTCCAAGTTGGCGGTGGGTCTGGTGAGTTTGGGGCAGGGGGGGTGTTCACTAATTGTTTCCCTCTACCGTATAACACCACGCCCGTCTTATGTTTGCTTCGGAGCAGCGTCAGTGGAAACTCCGTGAGAGATTCCCGCCGGCACCTTCGCCCTGTCTTCCTCGCCGCTCTTGTTCCGACCTTCTCCCGCGTCGAACCCCTTGTCTCTCTTCGCCGCCCCTCGCCGCTGCTGGCCACGCGGGGCGGGGGGGCTCAGCGACGTGTGGGAGGCGACCGTGACGCCATCTATCCCCATCGCCGGGCGGCAGCGCCCGTTCACCCCGCCAGTGGACGCAGTCCACGGGACAGCCCCAGTCAGCTACAGCGCTGGGATCAGCGCGTGCGAAAAAGGCGAGCAGTGGCCGCGGGCGCTGGCTCTGCTGAGCGAGGCGCGGGAAGCCGAGCTGGAGCCCAACGTCGTCTATCTTGAACTGCTGGGACTAGCGCGTGCGAGATGGCACCAGCCGGGATCGGCCCAGGCCGGCCATGGCGCTCCTGGGGCAGCCATGTACGGTCGCCGGGGGGCCCTGGATTCTCCAAAACGGCCCAAGAGACGGTTCAAGATACGGTTCAAGATACGGCAGAGGGAGGAAACAACTGGTGAATACCCCCCCTGCCCCCCCAAACTCAAAGTTGGCGCGCACGGGGGAGACTGCGGTCGAGGTCCAACTTTGAACACTGGGGGGAGGGGGAGGCGTTCACAGGTGAATGTGGCATGAGTGCTTGCTGTTTTTTTTCCGAGGCCTGCAGCTCCCAAGCGGTTCCCGAGGATCTCAAAAGCGGCCTCGGGGACACCGGGGGCGACCCCGAGAGTGCGCTCCGACAGCGCCACAACCCGCCAGGCCCGCCCGAGACGGCCCCGAGAGGGCCCCCCAGAAATAGTCCCCCCTGAGAGCTCCAAGATCGCCCAGAGAGCTCCAAGACAACCTGCGTGCCTCCTGGGAAACTCCAAGGCCGCCAAGATGACCCCAACACGGCCCCCGCGGGTCCCAGATGCATCAGGCTTCTAAGACAAGGTGCATCGAATGAGGCAGCAGTTTCTGTCAAGTTTCTGATGAGTTCGATGTTCCTTGGATGCGTATTGGGCTTCCCTGGGGGCGGGGGGCTCCCCGCGAGCCTACCCAGCGCTCCACAGGCGCCCCAGAGGGTTTCGAATTTAACAGAAAGTCAACAGAACGGGGTACCCCACCAGGGAGCGGCTTCAGTTAAATTTCTGTTAAATTTGGTGCGCTCTGGGAGCCCTCCCCAGCCCCCCCCCGGGAGTTTCAGCGAGCCCATCCGGACTTCCCAGGGGCCCTTTTGCGAGCCTCTCCAGCGCCCCAGTAAAAGCCCAAGAGGAGTCCGACAGGGCCCCAACGTTAACAGAAACTTGACAGAGCAACCCATCTAGCCAGGCAGCGGTTTCTGTTACACTTCTGTTTATTTCAATGTCCTCTTGCAATCCTCTGAGGGGTTCCTGGGGCTTCGACGAGCTGTTTTGTTAACGAAATCCATGGTGAACGAGCCCAAACTGATCCACGAGCCCAAACTGATCTACATTACAACGCCGGGGGTCGCGCGTGCCAGAAGGGCGGGGATTCAATGACCCAAAACTGGCCCCGGCCGGCCCTGGGAGGCTCCAGGATGGTTCCTGAGGGCCTATGCCCCAAGACGGCCCAAGATGGCCCGAAACGCCTCCTGACGGTCCCAGAGGTCGTCAATACGGCTGTCAGACGGCCCCACAGTGCTGGCAGACGGCCCAAGAGGGCTCCAAGAGGCCTCGAAGCAGGGCGCCGAGAGGCCAAAACCATTGATTTCCCTTAGATGTTCGAAGGGTTTCAGCGTTCTCGCCTTTTCGGAGTCTCCACGCTCCAAGCCGGCCCCAGGGCACCCAAGGAGAGGGCCCCAAGCCGGCCCAAATGGACCCCAAGACGGCCCCAAGAGGGCCCCACGAGAGGGAACTCGAACTGACAGTTCGCGCCCTCCGCTCCACTCCAGGATGATCCTAGAAACCGCCAGCTAGCCGGCCAGCCCACAAGGGGCCCTCCAGACGCCTAAGAAGGGCCCAAAGCGCCAGAATATGGCCCAAGAGGGCTCGAAGGGGCCCCCAAGAAAGGCCCCGAGAGGCCCAAACCATTTGTTTCCCATTGGGATTTTGAAGGGTTTCAGCGTTCTCGCCTTCTCGGCGTTTCGACGCTCCAAGCCAGCCCCGAGGCTCCCAAGATCGCGCCGAGATGGCCAGGCCCTCAAGAGAGCTCCCACTCAGCCCAAGAGGGCCCCAAGACGGGTCAAGAGGCCTCCCAGACGGCCCCAAGAGGGCCCCAAGACGGGTCAGCCATAGTCTATACTACAACTCTGGAGGTCGCACGTGCTAGAAGGGCGGGGGATCCAAAGACCCCAAACCGACCCCGGCCGGCCCCAGGGGGGCTCCGCGACGGCTTCTGAGGGCCACAAGACGGCCCAAGACGGCCCAAGATGGCCCGAGGCGCCCCCTGACGGTCCAAGAGGTCGCCAATATGGTTTTCAGATGGCGTCACAGTGCTGGCAGACGGGCAGACGGCCCCACAGTGTTGGCAGACGGCCCAAGAGGGCTCCAAGAGGCCTCCAAGAAGGGCCCCGCGAGGTCAAAATCATTGATTTCCCGTGGTTTTTGAAGGGTTTCAGCGTTCTTCCCTTTTCGGTGTCCACGCTCTAAGCCAGCCCCAGGGCCCCAAAAATCATGCAAAGGTGGCCCAAGAGGCCCCCGAGAGAGCTCCCAGACAACCCCAGACGGTCCCAAGACGGCCCAAGAGACCCCCAAGACTGCCCAAGACAACCCCAAGAGGGCCCCACGAGGGGGAATTCGAAGTATCATGCCCCGCGACGGGGAACTCAAACTGACAGTTCGCGCCTTCCGCTCCAGGATGATCCCCGAAACCGCCAGCTGGCCCCCAAGAGGGCCCCCAGACGCCCCAGAAGGCCCCCCAAGAGGCCCCGATCAGGTCCCAAGAAACCTCGAGAGGCCGCAAGACACCCCCAAAACCGCCTCTAAGAGGCTTCCGAGGGAAGGTCTCTCAGACAGCTCTGGGACCGCGCCAGCCACCCAGGAAAATAAGGCGCCCATGCGCCTCTTATTTTCTCACCTCCTTTGCAAAGGCTCTGGTCTGAAAGGGCGACTCGTCGGGGAGTTCTTTCTGAGAGTGCTCTGGACAGGCTGGCCATTGGGGGCATTCTCCGCAGTGCCTTCGATCTTCTCCGCAGCCCACGCAGCCTGCTCGCACCCTCCGACCTCCTCGGGCGGCCACAGCCATTCTGGAACATCGTTAGAAAAGAAGGCCCACGGTTGCTTCTTAATTTCCAGCCTTGGCCCTAATACAGCCTCGAAGTGGCTCAAGATCATCCTGTGGCGGCCCCAAACGCCGCCATTACCCGAAGGCAGCAGCACGAAACACGAAGCAGGCAACAATAGCGTCAGCGCACAGCAACAGCAAAAGCAGCAGCAGCAGCAGCAGCAGCAGCAGCAGCAGCAGCAGCAGCAGCAGTAAGCAGCAGTAAGCAGCAGTAAGCAGCAGTAAGCAGCAGTAAGCAGCAGTAAGCAGCAGCAGCAGCAGCAGCAGCAGCAGCAGCAGCAGCAGCAGGTAGCGGTTAGCAGCACGCACCAAGCAGACGTGGCCATCAGCAGTACCCTTCAGCCACAAGCAACCCGACACGCAGCAGCGGCAAGCATTACCAGCAACATGCAACAGCGGCAGCAAGCAACACCACGCAGAGGCATGCGGCGAATGCGGGGGTTGAGCCCTGCGTTGTAATGACACCCCCAGAGGCCCCCACATGCTTCACCCCGCAAGTGGACGTAGTCCATGGATGAGCCCTAGTCTCTTCTACAATGCAGGGACCTTTGCGTGCGAGAAGGTCCTCTGTCTTGAAAGACAGCCCAGGCTCTCCGGGGCGCCCTCCGAGACGGCTCTGGGGATCCCAAGATGCCCCAAGACGGCCCCAAGACGGGTCAGAGACGTTCAAGAGGGCGCCCGGACGCCCCAAGAGGACCCCAAGCGAGCTCCAGGATGGCCCCAGAAGCCTCCAAGGCAGGCCAGGAGACTCCCGAGACCCGAGACGGCACAGGAGGACCCCCAGGAGAGCCCCAAGAGGCAAACATCGTCCCTTTCCTTTGGGAAAACGTATGTTCGCTTTTTCCGTTAGCACAGTCTCCAAAACGGCTGTACAGGCCTGCGAGATCGCCCCAAGACGCCCCCAGGAAGGTCAGGGGCTCCAGAGGCGCAGGAGACGGCCCAAGAGGCACCCAAGACAGCCCTACGACGGCCCAAGATGCACTCAAGACGGCCTAAGAGGGCCCCGAGAGACCCCCAGGAGGACGAAAAAAGGCCCCCACACGGTTCCCAAAGGGCCTTGGATGGTTCTCTCTTGGGGAGCGTCGAACTTCCAGCGTCGTCTTGGGGGCCTCTCGGATCCTCTGGGAGCTGCCTTCAGGGGACTTCTTGGGGCGGTGAGCTCGAAAGGTCGATTCGTGTCGTCGCACTGGGCCTCAGGGAGTTCGTGGGGCCCTCTTTGCGCCGTCTTGGAGGCCTCTTGGCCAGTCCTGGACACCTCTTGGGCCGTATCGGCGCCCTCTTGCGGGCCTCTTAAGCTTTCGAAGCTCCAGTCGAACGAACAAGAGCATGCCCGCGCCCACCGGCCCCATTCTCACGATACGACCAGATAAAATTATCATTCGGCCCCAGCGAAGAGCTTTCTTTCTTCTTTCACATCATTAGCGCCGATATCTGAACTAGCACAACATGTCACAAAAACGACTGCAGCACATAGAGATCATACAATGCGGCACGATGTCCCTGCCTTATGGCGGTCCGATAGCCCCCACCTCTCGTGGAGGCCCCGAAGCCGACGGACGTGCAGACGTCCCAGCCTGAGGCCCACGACCACCGACGTATGGGGGAAGTCGGGGGGCCGTTGAAACGAGTGCGAAAAAAAGGAAGAGAGGAGAAGAAGGATGGAGGGGAAGCAGCAGCAGCAGCAGCAGCATGGGAGAGAGCAGGCGACTAGCTAGTGCTGAACCAAAATCTACCTTCAGTGCAGGAGAAGGCTCCGAGTGCCTCCCAGGCCTCGCATGCCTCCTGGATGGAGTCGGTCGTGGAACTGCTGCCAATTTGTTCCCTGAGTTCGCTCACTGGGCAGCCACAGCCCACGTCGCTGGAGAATTTGACCAGGTCGTACACTACATCGATTAGGAGGCTGGCTTCGAACGAATCATTATGAGAGCTGTCCTCTAGATCACGATCCATAGGAGTGGCCATATCTGGTCCAGGTAGGTCCACGCGATTCCCAGAGGAGCCAGGCACATCGTCAGGTAGGACACTACGAGGCCCAGGAAGATCATCCTCTCCATCACGAGGGTAAGCATCAGCAGCTTCACCAGAAAGACGATCCACAAAAAGAGCCCGATCAGCTTCCATG